CCAGCGATGGATATTATTTTTGACTCGAAGTTTCTTATCTCTGGAATGCATCTCTTGCTTCACTCTACCTCGATGGATCCGTTGCAAAGATAAGCGCGCGCCAGCGATGGATATCCCGTTTGAATAGCATTAAAATAATTGAAATATCATGGAGGTCGAAATACCACTGTGCGTATATACGCTGCCTCATAATGCAAAGGTCCCTGGTTCAATTTCCCCCAGCGGTGACAGCTTTTTTCAATTTATTTATACACGATGGCAACGTGACGACGTATGAATAATTTGAATTTCGCGCTGGTGTTTAGTGGGCGTGGCCTCCAACCAAATGCTGGTCTCTGATTGGCCTAGGGGCCAGAACTGGCATAGCCCCTCTACTTGCGTAATATATTTGCCCAATTTGGCCTTCCCATTACACTAGTTACAGACAATGCTGCTCAATTACGTTCTGATGAGTTTGAACAATTTCTAGCGTCGAATGGAATCGTTCACAAATACAGTCCTCCATACCATCCTTCATCGAACGGCCAAGCTGAAAGATATGTGCAGACTGTTAAGCAAGGTCTTCGTGCAATGGTAAACGAAGATGGAAATTTTGAGACAAAATTCTGTAGATTCCTTATGCAGTACAGAAAAACACCGAGGTCATCTACAGGGTTGAGTCCTGCGGAAATGATGTTCAAGGGCGTCTACAGAACCAGACTAGATTTGGTAAAAAAAAATGTTTCATCTGAAGATGGTACGCAAATGAGTGGTTGTCAAAGGAAGTTCAATGTTGGTGATAGCGTACGAGCTCGATTTTATGCTAACAAGGATACGAAATGGAAAACCGGGGTTATCTCAGCAAAAGTTGGTGATGTTATGTATGAAGTTTTGGTGGATGGAAAAAAACATATCAGACATATTGATCAATTATTACGTTCCTCTGATTCGCCTGAATCTTCGAAAGTACAAATAAAACATGAGGTTGAAGTAGATGTACCTGTGAAGTGTGCAACTGATGGCAGTTTCTATACTTCAGAACCATTTGACCTGAATATACCGATTATTGGTGATCCCATTCTTTCGGATCAAGAATTCATTACCAATGATAATTCACCACCCGAATCCGAATCAAGTGTCAGCATTCCAAAAACACCTAATACCATTGAAGAGGGTTCAATGGATCGTGATGTTCAAGATTGTCCAGAAACATCATCTGCTACTACATTGAAAGAACAAGGAGGTGATTTCGAGTCAGTCCGGAGGTCGGAACGTTCCAGAAAACCTCCTGATCGACTAGAATATTGAATACTTCCATCGTGGGGAAGATTGTTATATACTTTGATATTCAGATCATATTGTATATGTGTATTAATGTCAAGTTGAGTTATGTCTAATTAGGAGATTGATTCTTCAACTGAATTCGATATTATTTAAATACAATATCAATCATAATAATAAGTCGGGTATGCATCTTATAGGTAGACTTCGACTATGTTTACACTGTTACTTCGCATTCTAGCATCTGACATGCCTTTAGGTATAGCAAATACGATCGCACTGACCATATAGGACGACTTCGAAGGACATATAACGAAAACAATAGGCGAGTGAAGATCCTTCGACAACATTTGTCTGCACACTTTATCTTCGTATTCTATCATCTCACATGGATACCTCTGGAGCATATTAGTGGGCAACGATCATATAACACGACATCGGAGCGGGTATAACATACACAACAGGCAGAACAAGGAACTTCGACTTCGACTATGTTCACACTGTAACTTTGCATTCCAGCATCTGATATGCCTACAGTTATAGCAGATAATAATAATAATAATAATAATAATAATAATAATAATAATAATAATAATAATAATAATAATAATAATAATAATAATAATAATAATAATAATAATAATAATAATAATAATAATAATAATAATAATAATAATAATAATAATAATAATAATAATAATAATAATAATAATAATAATAATAGAACTCTCGTCTACCGTAGCCGTGTCATGGGTATGGAGGTCCCTGACACAAATTGCAGGGCCTGCCGCAGGGCGCCCGAGACAATTATGCACCTGCTGTCTTCTTGCACGGTGTATGCAGTCTCGGCCTATATCCATAGACACAATGCGGCATTGCGAGTGCTCTATTATCACTTGAGGCACTCGTACGGAATAGACGAGACCCCAGTGCTGCCCTATGCTCCGGGGGATATTGAGTCCGTTGTGGAGAATGAGAGGTGCCGAATTTATTGGAACTTCTCATTCCCCACCCTCAGGCAAATACAAGCTAACAAGCCAGATGTAGTCCTCCTCGACCATCAAACCAAAGCGATGTTCGTGATCGAGTTTTCGGCGCCAGCCGAACCGAACATCGTTTTGAAGGAGGAGGAGAAACGGACTAAATATCGAGATCTTCTATTCGAACTCCGCCGGCTCTATCCAGACCATTCTGTGGAATTGGTCATCCTGATTATCGGCTCCCTAGGAGGCACACGACACACGCTACTCTCGGAGATCCAGAAAATCCCAGCGTGCCGTGATAAGGCACACATCCTGGCTAGTGGTATGCAGAAGGCCGTCATACTTGGATCATTGCGTCTACTCAGGGCACACGGTACTTGGTCCCAGTGATTACTCACCTCACAGGCTGTGAGGAGTAGTCACTGGATTTTATCCAGCACGACACTGCGTGACGTCGGAGGCCGCAGGGTCGTGACTGGAATTACATGAACTCAAATAATAATAATAATAATAATAATAATAATAATAATAATAATATTTATTTCTTTGGTTGAAAAGTACAGTTGAAAAAAAAATCAATGCACAATAAACAAAGAAAATGTCAAAAGTCTAAAAGTAAATATAAATAACGTATAAATGTAAATAATTACCATGTAACATATTCTAAAAGTCAGTCAAGTAATATATACAACACAAATAACACAAACAAACTGAAAAGTCAATATAATATAAACAACACACAATTGCTAAAGCTGAAGATCTCAGGTTAGTTGATTAGTGAACTCTTGAATGGTGTAACAAGTCTTTTGGAGTAGCATTTTTTCCAGCTGATTTTCAAATACATTAATATTTGGGGAATTTTTAAGATGCATTGAAAGCATATTGTATAATTTACACCCACTGTACTCTACGCTTCTTTCAAACAAAGATGTTCTATGAGCGTTTGGTAGTATTAGATCTTCAGAACGAGTATTGTGGTTATGTTTTGGACGAGAGGACTGAAAATTGGATTTATTTTTGTAAACGTATGCACTAGCCTCTAGTATATAAGTGCTGGCAACTGTAAGAATTTTTAGCTGTTCAAAAGCATATCTGCATGAATCTTGGTAACCTAGCTTAGCTATTATTCTAACAGCATATTTCTGGAGGAGAAATATCCTTTGGACAGAAGCACTCATACCCCAGTTGAGGATACCGTATCGAAGGTGTGAATGGAAGTTAGCATGGTACAATGTTAAGAGTATACTAGAACTGCAGTGATTCGACATGAATCTAATAGAATAACAGCTTTTCTTCAGTTCATTACATGATGTATCAATATGTTGATTCCATGTTAATTTTTTATCTAGAATAATTCCTAGCATATTTACAGTTTCTACAGGACTAATTGATTTTTCACTATTTTCATATAGTATTACATTCGATTCCCTTTGACCACGTCTGCTGAACAATATGGTGTTAGTTTTAGATTTGTTGAGTTTCAAATTGTTCTCTTCAGCCCACAATATTATTTTATCATATATATCCCCAGCAGTTTTTTGGAGTGCATCCATGTTGTCTTCAACAATCAAAATATTTGTATCGTCAGCATAACTTGTAACGAATGCCGAGTTTGTTTCACTAATGAATGAAATTAGATCATTAGCAAATAACAAGAAAAAAAAAGGTCCTAAATTCGAACCCTGGGGAACTCCCTGCATAATATCGCATACGATCGCATTGACCATATGAGATGACTTCGAAGAACATATAACGAGAACAAAAGGCAAGTGAAGATACTTCGACAACAACAAACTGCATACTGTATCGCTGTATTCTATCATCTCACATGGATACCTCTGGAGCATATTTGTTCGCAACGATCATATAACTTGATATCGGAGCGAGTATAACGCACACAACAAACAGAACAAGAAATTTCGACTGTGACTATTTTTACACTGTAACATCGCATTCTAGCATCTGAAATGCCTACAGCTATAGCAGATACGATTGCACTGTCAATATAAGACTGTAACGTGAACTGTGTTCGGGTTACATTCATTAATTTATCTTTCCATCTGTCGCAGCACTAGGCAGAAGCTTCCGCCGGCCGACATCCTAGCCAGGACACAGTATATCGTTTATAATGTCAGAGAAAGGTAGACTCATCTCCATGTATTAGAAAAGGATGCATAGCATCTCATTAAATTCAAACTGTTCTCAACTTTCCTCATCTAGTGAAACCAAGTGTTTTTTTTTCAATCCCTGATTGCAATAAAAATGTAAGTTCTGGTGACCCCCTACCTAGGTTTTTTTGTTTGGAAGGTGATCTTGAAGGAAATATTTTCAAGAGCACTCTCTTTTTGGAGCGGATTCCTGAAGAGTAAGTTTATCTGACTAATATTTTACCGCTATGCTTTTCGCTTTTCCTATATTTGGAAAATAGCTTTGCTTCTATAATCCGATTTCCGATCTGCAGGACTTATATGATCTCATCAAAACGGGTAACAGCGAAATCAAACAGGAAATCTCTGAGCTAAAAAAATCCCTAGATGCTGAAATTGCGACTCTGAAAATAAAAAATGATGAGCTCGTGCAGGAAAATGCTATTCTCAGTCAGCGGATTCTAGATATTGAACGTCGTACGAAAAAATACAATTTTATCATCTATGGCCTACAGGGCCCTGAGGAAAATACTAGTGTGGAACTCCTAAAAACAGTAAATCTCTGTTTGAGAATCGAATGTAACGTTGGAGACTTTCGTGATATTTACAGAATAGGTGCTAAATCCGAGGGTGCAATTCGTCCAGTTGTTGCAGAAGTGCAATGCTACGGCTTAAAAACAGCCATTCTCAATAAATCACGTTCGGCGGCATCTGAACTTAAAAAACTGAAAATTATATTCTCGCATGATTACCCAAAAGAAGATTATATTAAAAGAAAATTTATGAATCTGCAGCTGAAGTTAGCGAAAAAATCACACCCAACAGCCATTATAAAAAACAACTCTCTCGTAGTGGACGACATCTCATTCAGCTACGAGGAACTAAAAGAGAAAGATAAACTGAGAAATAGTTCCCGTGACGTACCTATCGTTCCAATCGAGTTGTGTGCTCCGGATGAGTTCTCATCCTCATCTTCTGTGAACACAAATACTGAAAAAAAAAGAAAATTTCAACTTTCTCCATCTGTTGCTGATACGAACCTGAAGGCGAAGCTCAGGTCCTTCTCTAAATCCGACTGCTGATTTATATGCTTACCGATTTGCATCACTCTTGTTACCACACATCAATATTTTCTATATTTTCGATTTATATTCATCCATTTTTCTTCTGTATACATATTGTTCTCTTAAATCAGATATCCTTGTAATGTTCATTGCACATCTGAATTTGAGGTCGATAGGGACCGGGTTTAACCTCCTGGAGAATTATATTGTTTCGAATAACATAGAAATATTTGGGGGAACAGAAACATGGCTTAGTGACAAAGTTGACTCCGATGATTATCCTATAAGAGGTTATAATATCGAGCGCGCAGACCGAGACGGCAGAGGAGGAGGCTTACTCTTTTATATTCGTAACTTCATTAAGTATCAAATTATTCTGAAAGACATAAATCGAAATATCGAGCAGATGTGGATGAAAACCCGAATCCATGCCAAGACCTTTATATTCGGTGTCATTTATAGACCCCCCAAATGTAACATAATAGACTTCCTTGATAGTTTGGAAAACTCGGTCTCACAATTAATCCCGGAATGCGACAACATCGTGATTCTGGGTGATTTCAATATTGATCTCCTTGGTAATAGTTCAGGCACGAATCATTTCAATAATTTTCTGGAATCGTTCGACTTATGTCAATTAGTCACTCAACCAACTAGAGTAACACACTTCAGTCAAACTTTACTAGATGTTATTATCACATCACAGAATAATGATGTGAAAAATTGTCAAGTCACGAACTTTCATAACGTATTCGACCATTGTGCAACCTCATGCGAAATATTTAAAGAGAGTGAAAATATTTTCGAGTATCGTATAAACCGCGATTGGAAAAGTTTTGATAGAGATATTTTTTTCGATTGTTTCAACGATCTCAACTGGGATCATATTTATTCTATGCATAGCGTTGATGACATGGTATCTTTTCTCTCTTCAAATTTGGTAAGGATTTTTGATTACTGTTGTCCTCTCAGAGAGTACAGGGTAACCAAAAAACCTAGCCCATGGATGACTTACAACATTAAAAAAATGATCAGGATCAGAGATAAAGCGTACGCTAGATTTAAAAAAAGTAATGATATTGGCCATTGGAACTTTTACAAGGAGTTAAGAAACTATGTTAATGGTGCTATACAGAGAGAAAAAAAAGCTTATATGGAGTATGCTATACAGCAAAATCGAAACACATTGACATGGTCTCGTTTAAGATCTTTGAAAATTATTAATAAAACAAACACAAACACTCTTCCAAAAAATTTAGGAGATGTCAATGCAATCAACAATCATTTCATTAATATCCCAACAGTCGTGAAAACAGACCATCAGCTAAATTTACTCAAACTTTATGAAGGAATGAATCGTAACAATACCTTTGTGTTCACCGAAGTCTCCAATTATGATATAGTACAGTGTCAAAAATCTCTGAAGTCCAACGCTGCTGGGTGCGATGGTATCTCAAAGCAAATGATCGAACTAGTAAGCTTTCAGTTATTAGACCACATTACCTTCGTGATCAATACTGCCTTGAAATCGGGAATATTCCCCGAAGACTGGAAGTGTGCCAAAGTTTTACCCATCCCTAAGGTGTCGAATGTAACAGACTATACTGATATCAGGCCTATCAGCATCTTGCCAATATTATCAAAAGTTCTAGAAATGGTTATGAAACAACAGATTTCTCTATTCGTATTCCAAAATAATATAATCCCACCAACTCAGTCAGGTTTCAGAACTGATCACAGTACAACCTCAGCATTGGCCTGTATCACTGACGATATTCTTGCCTCAACAGACCGGGGACAAATAACAATTTTAATACTATTGGACTACAGTAAGGCATTTGACACAATGGAGTACGGTATATTAGTAAAAAAGCTCAAATTCTATGGTTTTGGTGAAAGCGCAGTCTGTCTTCTTGCAAGTTATTTTGAGGGCCGCTCTCAATATGTTGAATTCGAAAATAATCGGTCTGAAGTACTGAATCGTGAATTCGGGGTCCCCCAGGGGTCAATTCTTGGTCCTCTACTTTTCTCTATATACATATCAGACTTCGGTGAATTCCTGGGTGGCTGCAATGTTCATCAGTACGCCGACGACACACAAATGTATTTCAGTTTTTCGGTTGATGATTGCCATGAAGCCGCGGATGCAATCAACAGCGATCTATTGAAACTGTTTGATATATCGTCGGCTCATAATTTAAAACTCAATGCTGCAAAATCTAAAGTCCTGATTTTTGGTCCAAAAAAGATGAGAAATATGATTATGCAAAGTTGTACGTTTGCGATCAATGATGAAATGTTGCCTGTGGTAAATGAAGCAAAAAATCTTGGTTTGTGGATTGACAGCGAAATGCGGTATTCGAAGCATGTTAATCATCTCTGTAAAATTGCATATGGTACACTAAGAACACTTTATCCTCATAGAAGCATTCTGAATCGCGACTTGAAACTCCTTTTATGTGAAAGCTTAATAATGTCAAAATTAGCATATTGTGACTGCATTTATGGCCCTGCCTTAATTAATCGAGATCATACCAGATTACAACGTATCCAGAACTCGTGTTTAAGATTTGCGCTTGGTATACGGAAGTTCGACCACATCTCTCCAGCATTTAGAACCACCAACAAATTGAACTTGTCATCCCTACGAACCCTTCATCTCCTAACCTTCGTACACAAAATTCTGAAAACTAATCGTCCGTCATATCTGAGGAAAAAATTGACTCAATTTGAAAATATTAATAACATCCCTACAAGAAATAGACGTGTCCTAGTTGTCCCACAACACTCCTCTGCTATTTTCAAGCGCAGCTTTTCCTATAATGCCACAAAATTTTATAATTCATTACCAACACATTTCAAAGATTATTCCATTTTAAACTTCAAAAAAAAACTCAAAATGTCTCTTCTTGAAGCCATGTTTCTTCAGTGACGCTCACAGCATTTGTTTATGGTATTTGGTCAGGTTTCTCTCTTTTATTGTACTGTATTATGTATATGTGTGTGTATACGTGTATGTATATGTATGTGTATATTATAGGTGTATATATATATATACATTGTTGTTGATGAATATCATCTATGATTTAGCTTGAGACAATATGTTTATATGTGATGGCAATAATTGAAAGAAATCGTTTTAATGCTCATATTATACTGTACACATTATAGTAACTATTAGTTTTGAGTAGGACTAGTTTAAGTTGGACTCTACTACTTTTCTCATTTTGTTTTTCTTCTCAGTTTCTCATATGTATTTACATTATCTTTTTTATATTCACATATTTTTAAGGCAAAGTTGAAAAACACTGTAAAGTGACACCTCGCCTTTTCATTCCTATGAATAAAGCCGTTTATTATTATTATTATTATTATTATTAAATATAAGATCATGTGTTGCTTTGAATTAAAACTACATTAATTTCACTGAAATTTGGATTTTACTATCTTTTTAGGAAGTAATAATTAGAGTGACGAATCCATGTGCTTGAGCTTGGACTTGTGCTTATGATTTTCCGAGTTCTCATTAGTGACTTTACCTTCCCTTCTTTTAATAAAGCTGAAATTGCTTAATTCACTGTCTCATTGGGATAAGGAATTACCGAAATTTCCGTATTTTATTTCCCAAGCTTGTGTGGAATGTTCTGTCGTGCTTTGCTTTCTTTTTTGGGGAATGAATATACCAAAGGATGATTTAAGACCTTTGAATTTGAACCCATCGAACTGAACCCAAGGAGTTTAATCTGTGGAGTTATCCAGAAAGGCCTTGGACTTTGCTGAGTAGACTTGGTGTTGGCATCATCTCGACTGGATATGGGCTGTTGTAATAAAGGTAAGCTATCACATTTATTCTGAACTTGAATCCGAGAATCTAATGATACTCACCTGATTGCAACAGTTTCCAATTAGTGTCGAGTGATCAGCTCCCATTGCCTATGTCTGACCAGTGGTCCAAAGGAGTTCTGAATACCTTTTGGTTCAGCTCGATAAATATTCATTCCCTATGTTCAACTATTTATTTTCTGGGATGCGAAAGTAATCAGTAAACATTTATTGGTCAGATATTCTTGCTTCAGATTGAGAAATGCATATTCCCAGACGGCACAATCATATTCCATGAATATCCTATGCATATTGCGTTGGGATATTGCCATATGCCATGGATATTTCATGTCCTTCAAAAAATATGATATTCATATTCCAGGAATATCCAAAGTCACCATGAAACATATGCCAGGAATATCTGTGAATCTTCCAAAAGAGATTGGTGGCATATATTTGGAATATTATGTTTTTTGTATATGCATAGAATATGCTTTTCAATCATTAATAGAATGAAATATCTTTATGAAATGTAATTTATTATGTAAAAGATAGAAATCAACAAACAGGATGTAGGTTTGTAAAATACTTGAAGCTTGCACTTTATATATCATATCATATGATTTTCTTCTTCTCTTGAACGGCAGCGGTGATGAATCCAACAGGATCTGCAATGATTATAACATAGCAAATACTAGAATATAAAAATTGATTGAATTCACTCACCTTTGCTTTGGGCGTGCTACAAAAGTTGAAAGAACTAGATACTGAATTTGTCAACATCTGAGTTAATCAGAGCTGATTTCAATCTATTGTTTATTTCTTTGTCACGTTTGTCGTATCTTCAACAACACGAGTATTGCCTGGATTTTCCATTTGACAGATGGGTATAGATATAGGTGAGTACTGAAAAAAATCAAGTGCATCTACAGGGTGTATCTAAGTAACAGAAAAAAATTTCAAGTGGTGATTTCCTGATGAAAATTGAGGTGGGCGTTTGGTATGCATTTTTTTGAAAAATCTCTTCACGGAATAGTAACACCCTGCTCAAAATCAGAAAAATGGTTTTTCTTTTTCATTTCCCCTGTATATGACTAAAGGCACAGAACTTGTTAATATCATTCATTATTAAAACTACCCATTTTGGAATGTTTTCAACCCTGAAGTATGCTTAGAAGAGCTTGAAATATTCAACG